CTAAGAAGCACGGACACTTCTAAGAAGGTGACGTATTCGTGTCGTATCCGTGTCGGACACCGATACTCTTTGGACACTCTCAGGACACGTGTCCGACACTCTTCAAAACGTGTCCTATTTTTTAAATTTTTTTAAAGACTTGGACACTCTTTGGACACTTGAAGGACATACGTGTCCATCGCTTAAATACAAGTGTCTAACGATTAGACATATGTGAAATTAATTATAAGTTTGAACAAAACAACTTAAGATACAATAATAAAACAAAAACTATATAAATTTATAGGAATTAGTATCATATTGTATTTTTTATTATCTTTTTAATGATATATTCATATATGTAACATATAATAAATATATAAAATTACATATTTCATGCGTGTCCCTCACGTGTCATGTTCTACATTTTTTGAAAATTAACGTGTCAGCGTGTCCGTGTCGTACTCGTGTCGTGTCACGTGTCCGTGTCCATGCTTCTTAGTGAAACAGCTAGAAATCTACAAGTAGTCAAGAACACTGTACTCCCTATTATTTCATAAATAAAATAAGCTGCAGCAGTCATTCATAGAGTAAAATTTTTAAAAAATAAAAAATCAATAGTTGTAAGACTGAATCATATTTTGTGGCCAAACATTATATGATGTTTTTTTTTTGGGTAAGTAACATTATATGATGTTGCTCAGAAAATATTAAAATAAAATAAATTCATGACTGAAAGTGAATCCTGAGTCACCCTTCCCCTCCACACACACTCACTCAAAGTGGGAGTTCAACAAATGAGAATTGAAGAAAAACATAAAAGGAGAACAGAAGAAACGAACATCTAGCATCAAAGAAAAAAAAATCTTAGTAGGACTACACACTTTAATGTCTAGCAATTTGCTTAACCTCATGTGTATTACTTTAGACCAATGGCCTCACATGCAAACAAATGAGCACCCATTTGGTGTAGCAAAGACAAGACAGCGATAGGTCATCCTGATATTACTGTTTGGAGCGACAAAAAAGTAAAAAATACAGACTGACGACTGAATTTTACTGTCAACTAGTAAAGTGCTACCAGCACTGCCCAATCAATGGTAAGTAAGAAAATGCAGTGAGTTTTAGCGGAATGAAAAAGACCTCCCAATTGAAGATACCAGCAGCAGCCATGCGTTCCCGCATCCAGGGCTTCTCTGTATTCTTTCCAGAATCATTGACAGCATCAAGTTCTGCCAAGCTATTCAAGAAATTCATTGTATCCTGAAGCCCTTGAAGATCTCCATGAAGAATTTCAAAGTCTTCAGTGTAACTATGTGGGGAGAGAGGTCAAAATCAGCATTCAATCGACTGTTTTCTCTAGTTAAGACTATTTAAGAAGCAGTGAAGATAAGAAACTCACTTCATATGGAAGCTATTCTCAGTCATGTTAGCAGTAGGTGATCCAGTACGACGACCAAGTTCATTTTCAGCATTTGCATACCAATCCGGAATGCAAAGATCTCTTCCAGGGACTCTTTGCAATTGGTACCCAAGAACTATGGCATCCCGCAATCTCCTTGCTCCACTAAGCTATAATCCAAGGCAAGAGAAGAAAAATGATTAAGAAGGAACAAAATGCATGGAATAACAATTTTCACATAGGTAATCCGTGTTGTTTTCTTTCTACAAATGATTGTATATGTAAACTATTTTCAAGAATTTGGACAGATTATTTTGCATAGAATATCAGTGAGCATTCTTTTACAATCTGAACTGCAAGCAATGCCCCCTGCATGAGTACCCAAATCAGCTGACAATCCAAATTTACAGCCCCACTGATCCTACTTTTAACTTAAATTGAGGAAGATAACTAAATTTTACCATCATTTGAAAACACTTCAAAAAAAAGAAAAAGAAGAACCACCGTTTTGGTTAGGCCATACCATCAGAACAATTTTATAACTAATCCAAGTTAAAGTTGACAAGCGTAGTTAAGTCATTTACTCAATTTAAATTGCTTCGATTCATCATAAACCTACTGTCACATAATGTAATACTAAAGAGTAGAGCTGAAGAAAGTCAAAACTAGAGCAAAGAGACAATGGAAAAGATGCAACAAGATACATAAATTTGTTCACCTTATCTGAAGCATAGTTCTTTCCAACAGCTGTATCCTGCAAAATTCGAGCTGCAACCTGATTTGTTTATTTTTGATGAGCAACAAAGAAAATTGTATTAGAGAACGTTCCGAGGGGGCAAACCCTCACACAATCAAGAAAAACAAAAAATAAGAAAAAGAAATGTACAACAGAACTATGCTTGAATTGTGAGTTCAGCCAACTTCAGGTTGTGAGTTCAGCCAACTAGACGCAGTTAGCTTACAACCATGAAATGATGAAGGCAATGCTAAAGCATGGACTTCAAGGTGTCATTATAATATTTAATCACGTAAATTGGAAGGGTTTTTTTTTATTTTTTTTATTTTTTTTTTCAAGTAATATATGTCAATTCAAAGTTTTGAACCCTTCCCTTTCAAATTAAGAATATGATTAGTGCCTTTTTTTGGGACTGTTATATAATGCTATATTAATTGCATGTCCATATTGTGCATGTTTGGCATAGCTATAGGCCATTTCGGGTGCCTAAATTCGCATTTCGGGACAATTCCATGCATTTCGCCTCATTTCGGGGCTGCTTGCCCCCACTTTTTAGTGCTGAAATTCCATTAGAATGATTGCATGCCATTTCTATGTCATTACATCGCATTTTGCCATTGCCTCGGTTTGCGTGCCCGTGTGCACGCATTTCGAGACACTTCATTTTTATCCACCGGCATCCTATGTGAGTGTGGCTGAGGCTCACTCATGTTGGTATAAGCCCATATCATGTTTTCATGTCATTACATCACATTTTGCCATTGCCTCGGTTTGCGTGCCCGTGTGCACGCATTTTGAGACACTTCATTTTCATCCACCGGCATCCTATGCGAGTGTGGATGAGGCTCACTCATGTTGGTATAAGCCCATATCATGTTTCCATGTCATTTACATCGCATTCTGCCATCGCCTCGGTTTGCGTGCCCGTGTGCACGCATTTCGAGGCACTTCATTTTTATCCACCGACATCCTATATGAGTGTGGCTGAGGCTCACTCATGTTGGTATAAGCCCATATCACATTTCCATATCATTGCATCGCATTCCGTCATCACCTCGGTTTGCGTGCCCGTGTGCACGCATTTCGAGGCACCTCTTTTTCATCTGCCGGCATCCTATGTGAGTGTGGCTGAGGCTCACTCATGTTGGTATAAGCCCATATCATGTTTTCATGTCATTACATCGCATTCTGCCATTGCCTCGGTTTGCGTGCCCGTGTGTACGCATTTCGAGGCATTTCTTTTTTATCCGTCGGCATCCTATGTGAGTGTGGCTGAGGCTCACTCATGTTGGTATAAGCCCATATCATGTTTCATGTCATTCGCATTGTGTATGCCATTGCCTCGGTTTGCGTGCCAGTGTACACGCATTTCGAGGCATCTCATTTTCATAGCATAGTGCATACTAGGTTGTATCTTAGATTGTATTATGTCATTTTCTCAGTTTGCGTGCCCGTGTGCACGCATTTCGAGGCATATCATTTTCACAGTATAGTGCATACTAGGTTGTATCTTAGATTGCATTCTGTCATTTTCTCGATTTGCGTGCCCGTGTGCACGCATTTCGAGGCATATCATTTTCACAGCATTGTGCATACTAGGTTGTATCTTAGATTGCATTCTGTCATTTTCTTGGCTTGCGTGCCCGTGTGCACGCATTTCGAGGCATCTCATTTTTACAGCATAGTGCATACTAGGTTGTATCTTAGATTGCATTCTGTCATTTTCTCGGTTTGCATGCCCGTGTGCACGCATTTCGAGGCATATCATTTTCACAGCATTGTGCATACTAGGTTGTATCTTAGATTGCATTCTGTCATTTTCTCGGTTTGCATGCCCGTGTGCACGCATTTCGAGGCATATCATTTTCACAGCATTGTGCATACTAGGTTGTATCTTAGATTGCATTCTGTCATTTTCTCGGTTTGTTTTGTTTTTTTTTTTTTTTTTTTTTTTTGGAAAGTTTGAGAAAGACTTGAGTTTTATACAATGGTTGTCTTTCAATTATTGTACTAGAGAAAAATATAAATGAGCTATTTGCAAATCATGGATTTGTGAACTCGTTATTTTGTACTTTGGAAATGATTTCATTTTGAGAACAAAATTATGAATATCATGGTGAATCTGGTTAAGGGTGTGGTTGTGAATAATTAATTTGGCTTTAGATTCATAGTGAAAGTCCAAAAACACGCACAGTATAGATACCAAGTTCCTTCTAGTTAGAAGCCGGTAAAGTGATTTTTGGGTAGTGCTTTAAGAGCCTACTTGCAGACATTAACTTGTGGATTACCAATGTTGTATTTACTATCCTAATTTCTATTTAAAAGAACCTGTTTGGAGTGTGATTTTAAAACCCTTGCATGACATTGTTTAAAAAATGAAAACTCATGTTTTTGGGCATGTCATTTCATATGAATTCATTGCATAATATTGTTAAACATCATATATTTTATTGGGTTATCTCTATTGAGCTTTTTGCTCGCCCTTCGTGGAAACAACTTTCAAGTACTAACGGTGTGCTTATGCCATAGTTTGGGAGGATTTTGGAGTTTAGTTTTGTTGTATTTTCTTTTGTATAGCCCAGGGTTTTAATGTATTATTAGGCTTATGACCCACTTTTGTTATAATCAAGTAAAGTCTTGACAACTTGTAACCTTTAAGGCATAAACTTATTTTTGGTTTAATGTTGTTCCTTAAATATAATATGCTATAGATTCCAAGAGTTTGATCGATAAATGTATTAATGCATGTGATGTTATTTTCTAAAACTCAAAGGACATTTACAAATGAAGTATAGTTCTGGAAATGTTTAGGTTATTGAATGATTGAGACTTGTTGAGCTTCCGCTGGCATTAATGAGAATTATAAGGTGAGTCATCGCCAATTACCCCTATAAGGTGCTTTCTAAGACACCACTTCTCGGTTGCTACATCATATTTATTATTTAATACCTCTATCACATTTGCATATAACGATTGGAACAAATCATCAACTGTGAGTTTTTTAAAGCCCACTAGATAGTGGCAAAATGCTTTTTTCTAAGCCCACCTGAGGGTGGCAAATCCACGTCTTAGCCTACTTGCGAGTAGCATCATCAAACCATTTTCAAATAAACAAGCATGAAATGTTTTGTTCCAATTCGGGCGATCCAGTCTATACTTATATGCTGTGTGCATCACATAGTAACCTAGGCTAATAACCGGAATAAGAACTCGCAATGTTTTCAAAAATTGATATCATGGTTAGTAGAGGCCGGTCTATGACCGGGCGAGCGGGGGTGCTCACGAAGTGACCTTCCCCAATCGTACCCAAGTTCCCGAGCCGAGGCAACTTTGGTGATGACGGACACGTGGCCTTTTGGCACCGAGTCAGGGTTTCCTAAATTTCCCAAAATAAAATATTTAGGTGGCGACTCTGTATCTGGCAAAGCAATCCATGTTTGGCACTTCTTTCAAAAATCAGTTTTCTCAAAACGATTTGCCGGATTTGGACTCTTTGGTTAAGACTTAGAACCGTGACTAACGAAAGTCGAGTCCGAGCTGTGGCGAGGTCCCCCGCGGGCTTGTCTACAGTTTCATTTTCTTGAATTCCTTAGTGAGAGCTATAATCCAGTCATCATTCTGATGATCTGGCACGAGTGGTGCCGGAGGTGGAGGTGGCGGATGTGGTTGCTGCCACTGCTGTTGCCACTGCTGTTGCTGCCTCAAAGCTTCTGCCATTTCCTGTATCAGTCTTTCCATTCTGTCCATTCTGGCAGTTAAGGATTATTCTATTTCATCTCCTCTTGTTCTCACCATCTGATTAAACTTGCATTATATTTCAAACAAAAGGTACACAGATATGCACACACTAAGAAGCACATATTCCCAGATAATTGCCAATGCAGGTAGTTCACAACTTACACACGTAATTGTTCATATCAAAACATTTAGGCATATAATCAATGCTTCCAAATTCAAATTTATCACATGAATGCATCCTAGATCTTATTTAGACGCTTATTGCTCTTTTTGGACAAGTGTGTGAGTTATTAACTCGTGCTCTAATACCACTCTGTCACGACCCGAACCCGCCCCTATGGGTTAAGGACGTAACCGGCCAGTAATCCTGAGATTACCTACGGTCTCAAACCAAATTAGACATAACTCGACAGAGTAAAGGGGCCAAACGGAAGCAATAATCAAAAACTTTGTCCATAGAGCCGTGCTTATATGCACTACAAAACAAACCATACTCATATACGTTAATAACCCACAACAAGTACAGTATCACAAAATCCTTTACAGACAGGATCATCCAAACTGAGTCAACCCATATCAAAACTATATACAAATGTACACAAAGTCCTTGCCAACACGACAAACTATAAATACATAACAAAATGGCAAGGACGGGTCTCGTACGTGAGACACCAGGCTGACTCTCCCAAAATCTCATGTTGTTCCTGGCAGACTTCGCTGGGGCTGGGTTTGGACTTCCCTCGGCTCACCTACAAACACATGAATGAGCGTGAGCGATAGCCCAGTGAATAATATCGAATACATAAATTACATAAGCAATACAAAGAACAACATGCTCCGAACGGCCTTGGGCCCAATGCATATTTCTGCTTAACATACATACACTTATACAAAATTCGGATCAAATGACTATAGTCCCAAACATACTGGTCTTTGGCCTAATCAGATTTCCATTAATGTCAAAACGGCCTTCGGCCCATTCATCTATGTCAGAACGGCCTTCGGCCCATACATTGGTGTCATAACGACCTTAGGTCCATTCATTTATGTCAAAACGGCCTTCGGCCCACTCATTCATGTCAAAACGACCTTCGGTCCATTCATTTCTATCAAAACGACCTTCGGTTCATTCATTTTTATCAAAACGACATTCGGTCCATTCATTTCTATCAAAACGACCTCTGGTCCATTCATTTTTATCAAAACGACCTTCGGTCCATTCATTTCTATCAAAACGACCTCTGGTCCATGCATTTTTATCAAAATGACCTTATGTCCAGTTACTTTCATGTTAGACTTTTGTCCACAATCCCAATCAGCAATTCATAAAGCTTATAAGGGAATAAACAATTGGACATTCACAATTATTCGAATATCGATATTACTCACAGTGATCAGCGT